GAAAAAAAAAAGAAAAAAAAAAGAAAAAAAAAAAGATCAGGCCAAATACCAGTTCCTGGCTAATGCCATCCAAGGCTCACATACTCCAAAGCTGGCTGCCTGTAGGGACAAACCACCTGAGAACTGCTTCAAATATGGTCAACTGGGCCACTCAGCACGGGCCCGTTCTAACCTCAGGCCCTGTCCTCACTACAAACAGCCAAATCACAGGGGGGTTGACTGTTCCACTCTCCAGAGACGGAGTGGCCCAGCCCCACAGCCATCCCTACTGGAGCTTCTCAGCTTTGCCAAGGAGGAGGACTGATGATGCCCAGGGCCTGAGGCCCCTTCACGGATCACCATGCGTGAGCCCAGAGTAACTCGCCTCGTAGCAGCTAATCTCTTTTGTCATCGATACAGGGGCCACTTACTTTACCCTTCCTAAATATGAAGAACCAACAACCCTGTCCTCTATCACAATAGTAGGGGTCACGGGATCAGATACCACCCACGGATCACTCAGGCCCTTTCCTGCACCCTACATCACACCCAATTCACACAGAAATTTGTAATAATGCCTCAATGCCCAAACCCCTTACTGGGACGGGACATCGTTTTCAAATTCAAAGCTACTCTTACACTAACACTTTAACTCCAGCTACAATACTTCTGTTACAGGCCACCCAGACCTGCCCCCTGAGGTTTTCACCTTCCCCCCTCCCCCTCGGATAAGGTTAATCCCATAGTAGGAGACACGTCTCCCTCCATTGCTATGCATCATTCCCCTATCCTTGTTAAGTTGCAGAACCCCTCTTTGTTCCCTAATGTCCCACAATACCCCATCGCTAATAAACACCTAATAGGGTTAAAGCCCCTTATAAACAAACTCTTTTCTTCTCATCTCTCATGGCCTACTCGCTCACCTTTTAATACATGCATCCTTCCAGTTATAAAGCCTAATGGCTCATACCATTTAGTAGAGGACTAATCCTGACATGCATCATTCCCAACAACTCACCTGGACAGTACTACCTCAGGGGTTTCAGGATAGCCCCCACTTCTTCGGCCAGGCCTTAGCTCAAGACTTATGTGAACTTCCCCTATAGCTCAAGACTTATCTGAACTTCCCCTAACCTCTAGCACTTTAATACAATATGTGGATGACCTCCTCTTTTGAAGCCCCTCCTATGAGGATTCACAGGCCCACACTGTTGCTCTCCTTAATTTCCTGGCCTCCAGGGGATGTCGAGTGTCCCCCAGCAAGGCCCAAATTTCTTCACCTTCAGTCACCTACTTGGGAGTCCACCTCACGCCCAACACCACAGAAATAACGATGGATTGCAAAAGTTTAATTTCTGAACTACCAACTCCCACCACAAAGAGTGACATTCTCTTTCCTGGGGCTTGCAGGACATTTCTACATGTGGATCCCCAACTTTGGCATGCTAGCAAAGCCACTTTATGAGGCAACCAAAGGCGATCCTGCCATTCCTTTAGATCCCACAAAGCCCATTCATTCTCCCTTCCAGCGATTAAAAGCCACTCTCCTCACAGCCCCAGCTCTCTCTCTCCCAAACCTATTTCATCTTTTTATCCTATACATCACCGAAACCAAAGGATCGGCAGTTGGTGTTTTGGGAAAAGAGGCAGGAGATATTTTCTCCCTGGTTACATACCTCTCTAAACAACTAGACACCACAGCTCGAGAATGGGCCCGTTTA